TTTGGTCCAAATGACGAGAGCTCACATAATTTTTTTTTTAATTTACTTATTAATTTAAACTAAATCGTCTAATGACGGCAATAGAGAATATTAAAATCAAACAGTGTACTATGTAAAATTTCAAATACTCAATAAAATTCAAAATTAAATATTTTTGTTTCACACATATGTAATATGATTATTAAGAGGAGGAAGGGCACAATACATTTTTTGTATGGTGTATAGTGGAGTGGAACGAGATATATGTCGTTGCCTTAGTACAATACTGTCATATCTTAAAAATGTCAATTTTTTTAAAAATCAAAACAAAGTTTTCATGCCAAACGAATTTTAAATGATTGCACTTCAAAAACATTTATTATAAAATATAAATCAAAAAAATATTTTTGATACGAGTATTTCAGTATTCTTTATCATAATGAGGCTACCTTAACTGCTTACAAGGCTTTACAGTATTGAATTTAAGTAACGATTGGTTAGAATGTTTTTTATATGAAAAGAGTATCACTTTTTCATACCTAACAGACTATACACGACAATATCTATATGCTTATAGGAAGACACATAGGTGAATATAGGTATGTATTTTATTAATAATTTTATTACCAAATTTAAACGTTTATCATGGCGTTGGGTATATCTTTGATAATATTTTTGATATCACCTTAGCCTGAGATAATAAAAATTAATAAGACAATTCTCACGGAATAGATTACATGAATTTTATTCTGAATACAAGATTCCAAACGCAATTCAAGAAATGTTGACAATATATTAGTAAAGGATCTATCTAATTGATGCAAGTAATGAAAAATAGTTGACCTCACTACAAATGCTTATTCTAAAAAAGTCCGCTTAACTTTCGACTCCACCTTATATGTTATATCATTAACATATTTCTGTAATGATTCTAAAGAGCAATACTTTAATCGATTCTCTTCATATATTTCATATACGTAGTCCAATATATGCTTCCCAATACACCTAATGCTCTACCACCTTAAGAGTCTAAATAACCAATTAACGTTACTTGTAATACCAAATTTAGTCATTTTCGGATATTATACATAGATAGTTAATACATGTATATTTCTGTGTACAGTACAGAGCTAGAGTTTCCCTGTGCCTGATACCACATACAAAAATAAACAGAATATTTTTTTAGTTATTTTATCTCGCAAAAATATTGATTTTAATAATAAGAAAAGTATAGTTTAAAAATTTAAATTATTTTTTTAATATTTTATGATGAACAGAATTTAATATAATCGTATTTAATTATTATATAATTATTTATAAAAGGTTAACTTTTCACTGTTTGCTTGGTTCTAAGGATTTTTTAAATTTAATTTAGGTATTTAATAATATATATGTATTGTTATCTACATAAGTATTTGTATATATATATATATATATTTATTTACGTTTCTTAATAAAGCTTATACATCATAAATTCAACTGTTTTCTTAATTTATTTTTAAGTACTTTAAGTAGCTTTTTTAATAACTACAGTATTTTTATTTTTGAAAAACTACTAGAAAATTGTTTTTGGTTTTTATATAATATACTCAGTCCTATGTTTCGGATATGAAATTGTTTTTAAACTTAATCTATAAAGTTTTGATTTTTTATATAAATATTTTAGTTCTCACACCACTTATTGGTACATCAATTTTTTATTAGTATTTTTATAAAATGTAGAAATCAATATATTTCAAATAATTACTTGGGAAATAAATCAAAGAATAAATGAAATTGTTGTTTTATAATGATAGTATTGACAAGTTATTTATTATTCACCTGAAAATTTTATATTTGAAAAAGAGTTGAATAATGCAAAAACTACCTTAGACATGTTTTTTCTTTCTGACGTCACAAAAAATAAATTATTTTATTTCCAAAATTTTAAAAATATCTTCAATATTTTTGGTTTAATTATATAATTCTACTTGTTTGATACAAGCTATAAAAGTATAGAGGACACAAGTATAAAGGAGAATCCTACTTTCTCATTTCACCTTCCACACTATTATTATTATTTTGCGGAATAAATAAGACAAGATACATACAAATGAGGCAATGAACTGCGAACTGCGAGGTGCGCCTATACTACGAATATGAATATTTTGCGCATTAAGAAAAGAATGCAGCGAAAAATGACGAGTCGTCGAAGAAACCATAACAAAAATATTAATTATTTTCTCGCAACATAAAAACTTTTCCAGCTGAATCATGCATATGTCAAAAATAAAAATGAATTTGGAAAAAGGTTGGAAGAGTGGCAGACCGACACGTACGCAAAAGAAAAGTTGTAAAATTACTAAATACAAAGAAAAGGTAAATTGATACTTTAAAAACAAATAGCATACTTCGAGGCGCCTTAAAGTTATCTAAAACCCATAAATAACAGCGGAGCACACGTGCAGCTATTCACGCTTCGTAGGGTGAATTCGAATTGATAACAAAGTTGGCTTTGCGTTAACTAAGAGGTGAACCGATACGAATGCTTAAGCGTATGCGTTATAGAACACCAGCCAAGAAATTACAATTAAATGTACGATAATTAATAAAGAATTTCAGAAATCGAGTTTTATGACAGCATTTTATGCGCAAAGTTTGTACTGTTTAGTTTAGAGCATGGCTGTCCACAGTACGGCCCGCGACTTATGTTTTTGCGGCCCGCGACAAGGTTTTAATCTATTACAATTTCGCAAATTTTCATTTGGTGTACTGGTAGAACTACATTATTTTTAAATTGAGTTTAAATTGATAAATTAATAAAACTAAATCTAATATTATAACCGTATTCATAATGTTATAATGTAAGTATAATAACAACTTTGAAAGTATGTATTTGTTCCTGCGGCCCTCCAATCTGCACAGTAATTTATATTGGCCCGCGATCGCATCTAGTCTGGACAGCCCGAGGTGAATATTCACTAATTGCCTGCAGCAATTTATGGACGAACATTTTGTGAGTATGGCAATTCTCACCTTTTGAAGGATCTTTATTGCTGATAGAAATTGGTGTGAACGTACGTAGTAATTCAAGTGTAAAAATAGAAAAAAAATAGAAACTTTACCGGTACTGCAACACAGACAGCCAATCCAATAGAGAATATGCACTAAACCATTTGTGTCCAAAGCAAATTTATTAAAGTGCAAATTCGAAATTCTTACATAAATTATTTTAATAGAGACTGAATCACACGAAGGACCAAGTTTGTATGTATGGGCTTGAAACAATTATATGCAATGCCTTCTCATAAATATATCGATACAATCGATTATTATTAATAAGTGATTAGCTCTAAAGCTTTTATCTATTTCACATTTCACAATGCAAAATTTACAATAAAACCCTCGAATAATTACATAAACTGGTGGAAAGAAACTCATGTTACACATTTACAATTTAATTACAGTTTTATTGGACAATAAATCTAATCAGAGATTAACTGAGAAAGTTAATTGAAATAATTGTGAAATATATATATGTGGTACACAAAAATAATCAAAGCCTGTCTAAACAAACAGTGCAACACGCAAGTGCACGTAAGGCAGTCAAGTGTAAAAGCCTTTGCAGAATACGGTTGCACCTTAAGAGAGACGATTTTAAAAACTAATTCAAAATTTATATGACAACATTTAATTGAATGTTGTCATATGAAATGGATTAAAATATTTTCGGTGTGTTTGAATCCTAAACTGCCCTTTATATACGCCACTGAACTGTGTCAAAATAATGTGAAATAACACTATTATTATTCATAAAACACTAACTATATTGAAGATTAAATTCTATATAATTTAGCTATATACTATCCCAATAGAGTTAAACAAATAAAGCCGTAAAAATAGAGGCCGATAAATAAATAACAAAGGGAAGTTACACCTCTAAAATAATTTTATTTAAGTCAATAATTGTATTTTCATTGTATTTTTTCAGAAATTTAAAAATTTCATTTCTGATTAAATGACTGATTATCCTAATACGCTTAGTTAAGGATAATTAAGGAAATAGTTTAAAGGTTATCATTTTCTTTGATTTTATTTTGTATGTCGTACTTAATTTGCTTAAATTAGAGTACGAATTAATTGTATATATAATTTGCCTGCGCTCCAAACTTAAGGAAAAGGTTATTGGATAATAATTTAAGTCGCAATGATTAGATTATCGATGAAACTTGCATTTAATTATAGAGGTTCGTAACTATTGTTTACAATAGTATATCGAAAATAAAGACATTAAGTTGAGAATACAAATTATTTTGTCTAAAAAAAGCAATATACTTTATTTCTCTTCCCATGCTTGGCATACACGAGGGGCGTGTAGCGGATGAATATGGTTTAAATTGGAAATTTAGTATAAAATAATTACTTCGCTAATTACTTTATTTTCAAAATTAAATAATATGAAAAGTTATTAAAACGAATAATTTTTAAAATGTTAACTAAAATTGAAGCACTTTGTTTTTATATAAGTCTTAAAAAAAGATTGACGCAACACTATTAGTATTTCATATATATGCCAAACAAGAGGACTATTTCCCATAAACCGCGGCAGAAACACGCCAACGACTTTAATGAATATTGCAAATAATATTTATTCTGAAGGTGTGTAGCTTTCAATTAACTTACACATTTCTATAGCTTATGGCTTCTATTGGCTTATAGTTAGGACACAAAAAAATAATAAGAACAAAAATAGATACTAAAGCTGTACATAACTATAAGTGTTTAGTATTTACGCCCAATGCCTGGTCCTGGATTCAATAAACGGCAAAAATGTGGTGTGGTCACGCGACAATCAACTTGTATATGACGTCTCTGTCGCATAGACAATGGTCATTGTCGACTTGAAGCCGTGCTAATAAATTCAGTGTGCTTCT